TTTTTTTTCGAAGTCACTTCACCTGCCCGCACAAATTGATTTATATATTTGCTTGAAATTTTGCGGTTTCTTTTTTTGATGTTTTATTGATATAACCTGGGCAATAAACGTGTTAAAATGTTTTGCCTTGGCGCATATAATTGAACAAAGTTGTGGATAGTAGCTACATGTATGCAATCCAGCATCGAAAGACGTGACATAGCTGCGCTCGGTGTGCGAGAGCATTCCTGTAAAATCACTGATACGGGATACCCACACTGATTGCCCAAGCGATTTTGATATTCTTTGTCCTTTTAATTCGCTTTTACTTTATGCGCTACAAAATGTAAAAAAGTTGTCTGAGAGTGTTTGCATTTGTGTGTGTATGTGTGTGTGTGTCTGTGTCTGTGTGTGTGTCTGTGTCTGTGCGCATATTTCGATTTGTAGATCGACGGAAGCTACGAAACTCAAATTTTGGCAACTTAGTCTACCACCATAACTGGATTTCTAGACGTAGAATGGACACTGAGTTTCTCCTGCTTCTCATGACGAATGCCTAAAAGTTAAAACGGCAATTTTTTTAACTTCACAGCTAGAAAAGCCAGAAAGTTGAATCTTGTAAGTGTGGTTCTTGACAGTGTGCGAATAAGTGGATGGAAAATTAATCTTTTCATCGCCGCTATATTTCATGTATGAACACTAAGAATTTAATGCTGACAATTTTGTAAGCCTAGAACTGAATTCGCTAAAGGTTCTGAAATCACGTAAGAATGGTCCATGACCATGTTTGAGTAAAATACGTATGTGTTTCACGTACGGTCGCATGCCTGATAACGATGGCAATTTTGCAACTAGTTGTGCAAGAAGTCTTTATTCGCAGTGGTTTCCTGGGGCGCACTACGACGTTTAAAATTCCTTGCTAAAATCATTTATTTTTTTTTGTGCTTTCTGAAACACTCTAGCTGCAGTCGTGCTTTTTAGTAAAAGAACGAATCTGACTCCAAGAGAACAGTTTAGAATCGTCCCTCTAAGTATGAGCGCTTTAAGCCTCCAGACAAATATGATCCGCACTCTCTCAGATGCTGACCACTTTACTGCTATTACCACTGATGTTGCTCGGTGCAACGAAGGCATTTCGAACGCAAAGCGCTGGTGTCCGAGGAATTCTGCTCTGTGGCGATAAGCCTCTTGCAAATACTAAAGTGAAGCTTTGGGATGAAGACAGCGGTTAGTTTTTTTTTTTCATTGTTCGCCTAATTCTTCCGGAATCTGGAAGATGGCGAAGAGTTCTTGTGCCAGTCAAAGTTAACAGTCGCATTGGCTTTGCTTTGATCCAGAACTGAGGGGGCTAAGAAGGAAAGGAAGAGAAAGAGAGGAAGGACAGAGGCAACAAGGCACAAACGTTTGCCTT